ATGTGGTCCTAAGTCTTCTCTTCCAATCTCAACAAGCCCAGTTCCTATGATCAATCAGCCTGATCTCTTCACAATTAAGGCAGTTACCTTCCTCTTTTCATTCCCTCGCTGTGCTTCTTAAAGTGTGCTGCTCTGAAATGAACACCATTGTGTTCAATGCTCCTGGAACCATAAGAGCTAGAAGAGACTTTGGAGTCCAATTTGCTCATTTTACACATTAGAGAAGTGAGGCCCAGAGAGAGAAAGTGACTTGTTTAAGGTCAAAAGGAGAGCAAATAGGAGATCTACACTTTGAGCCCAGGTCCTCCTCGCTTCAAATCCAAGGCTATTCTCACTGTACCATGTTGCCATTCCTTTTCTGTATAAGCAGACCAAGGCCACAACTGAGTTTTTACACAAAAACATTCATAAGAGTACTCTTTCAGGCAGCAAAGACCGGCCAACAAACTGAACTCTCACCAGTAAAGAATAGCTAGAAAAAAAACAGCATATGAATCACACTGTCATTTATATACTTAAAAATGACAAATATGAGGAATTCTGAGATGCATTAGAAGATATGTACTGACACAGTGTAAAACAAGCAGACGCAACAGAACACACAAAAATATAATAAACGGAAAAAAAAAAGTTGAACATATTATTTATCAGACTAATGGGTAGGTGAACAATTTATAAATAAACAAGAGATAGCAAAGTCAGGTATAAAATGGATAATTTCAATTACATAAAATTAAAAAGGTTCTGTATAAATAAAACAAACATAGCCAAGATTAGAAGCAAAGCAGAAAATTGGAGGGAAATTTTTATAGACAGTTTACTACGTAAAGGTCTCATATCTAAAATACATATAGAACTTTGTCAAATCTATAAGAATATGAATCATTCCCCAATTGATAAATGGTCAAAGGCTATGAATGGTCTGTTTTCTAATGAAGAAGTCAAAAAAATTTATATTCATATAAAAAATGCTCTAAATCACTACTGTTTAGAGAAATATCAACTAAAACAACCCTGAGATATCATTTTACACTTAACAGATTGGCTAAAACAACAGAAGGGGAAAGTAACAAATGTTGGAGGGGATGTGAAAAAACTGGGACACTAATTCATTGTTGGTGGCATTGTAAAATGATCCAGTCATTTGAGACCAATCTGGAATTATGCCCAAAGAGTTATTAAACCACCTACACCCTTTGAACCAGCAATGCCACTACATGGTCTATCTCCAAAGATGATTAGGGAAAAAGGAAAAGAACTTATATGTTCTAAAATGTTTATAGCAGCTTTATTTCTGGTGGGAAAGAACAGGAAATTTCAGGGATGCCCATTGATTGGGGAATGGCTGAACAAGTTGTGGTATATGATTGCGATGAAAGACTACTGTGCTATAAGAAATGATGAGCCATATGATCTCAGAAAAGCATGGACTTGCATGAAATAATGAAGACCAAATAAAAGAGTAGAATCAAGAAAACATTGTATATAGTAACAGCAATACTGTTTAAAGAATGACTTTGAGTGAATAAATTATTTTATCTATTACAAATACACAAATTAACTATAAAGAATATATGAAGAAAGATGCTATCTGCATTCCAAAACTGATAAACTGAGGTATGTATAGAATAATTTTACATATACACATATACAAGACACATACATACACACATATGTACACACACACTTATTTGTGTCAAATGGTAGCCATCTCTAAGGATGGAAGGGGGATGGGAAGAAAAAAAGAAATTTACACAATAATTTTATTGTATATATGAAAGCAATAGCAACTTCTCCATAGTGGAGTTGCAGTTTCATGTACAATCATCATTATTATATATTGTGTTATGGAAATGCTTTTTTATTCCATAAATTAAGAAATAATTTTTTTTTAAATTAGCACTTCTGATATCAGAGAAAATGGAGACCACTAGAGGAAAATGTTCTATGAACTCTCAGATAAAGCCACTGTCACCGGTATTTTTGTGCAACTACTTCTTTGATAGAAGGATTAAATTTAGAGGGTGAAGGAAAAAATCTTTTTCCAAAAAAGACTCTGGTGAAATAGCAGAAAGCCTTCAGAAAAAATAAAAGAAACTTTTCTAATTGCTCTCTACCTCATACCTTACACTGATGATTCAGTCTTTCTTACAATGCCCTATGTGCCTTTTCAGTACAGCTTGCTCTCCAGCCACAAGAGGTCTTCTGTTTGCCATGCTGTTTGTCAGCAGGGTAGTAGCCTGACATTATGTCTCTTCTAGGTTACCCACATACTAAAAGAGCCAGGTAGCTCAGGGCCTGGGGACTTGATTGGAGAAAGAATCATAAGTGATTCAATTGCCGTGTACATTAAGTCTCCCTTGAAAAGCATTCTTACACAGATGGTTTTTTAAAAAGGGCCATTCTTTGGCCAGTGGTTGTTTTAAGCAACAAACATTTGGAAAATTCTTCACAAAGGTAAAGAACAGATTCTTCATACTCTAGGCTGGTGACGTCACTTCCTGGTGAGCTAGTGATTCAACCCTTTCATCTACATTGGATGAAAGAATAAGGATCCAAAAAGACTTTAAGAAGTTAAAAGAAAGGGCTGAATCTAACAAGATGGGACCTAGGAAGGATCAATGTAAGGTACATCTCTGGCCTACGTGAGGCATTAACGGAAGTCTAAAACTTCAGGACTTAGGAGGAAAAGTCCTTTTCTTCATAATTGGGTGGCATATTGCTATTAAAAGCAGCTGAATGGCTTTGTTTGGGGATCCAATGTGCATGAAGTTATTGTAGTAGTTTTGATTATGAATCTGTATATGAAGTCTCAAAACAATCTACCAAATGATAAGAAAATGCCAAAAATGTCTCATTACTTTAACTACACAGGTACCTTGATTTACCAAACCAAACACACAAAATGCTCATTTAAAACAAAAAAGACTCAACTAATCCGAAACGGAATGATTATTTGCATTAACAAAAGCATTCACCTATTAAATGAATATATAAAAAGAGGCTATCCTTTATGAAAGGATATACTAGAAGGGAAGTGGCAGCCCCCTGGGTGTCTGAGCAGCCTTTTAAGGATGGCACTGCTCATCTCCTGGTGAGAGCAAGCAGCCAGAAAAGGTGCCCCAAACTTGTCTGCTTATCCAACTCTGCCCTGATTACAGCAGTAAGTAGGGATCCCACCCTGCACTTGAAACACAAAAACATGAACAAAAACTTTTGCAAAGGTGATTCTACTCACCATCAGTACATGGAATGTGCACACACTTATAGACAACACAAAATCCAGCACACCTGAAAGATAAACAGCTCTTATTGAAAGTGAACTCAGCAGGTATCACATCCAAAGAGTAGCTCTCAGTCAAACAAGGCTGACAAATGAAGGCCAGCTTGCTGAAGTAGGGGCTGGACACATGTTTTTTCCTGGAATGGCCACAGTGAAGGGGAATGCCCTGGAGCTGATGTAGGTTTTGCAATCAAAACTAATCTAGTCAACAAGCTTGTATGCCTACCAAAAGGAGTGAACAGCAAACTCATGACAATACAACTGCCACATGCAGGACAATGCCATGACACTATCCTCAGTGCCCATGCTCCCACCATGATGAACCCTGATGAGGTTAAAGATCAATGTTTTGAAGACCTGGAGACCTTATCATCAATGTGCCAAAAGGCAAGCTTCTAATTCCGGGTGACTTTAATGCTAGTAGACTCAGACTACAAGGCATGGCAGGGAGTCCTTGGGAGGGATGGAGTTAGAAATAGCAACAGTAGTGGTCACATACTACTGAAGACTTGTGTATCTCATGGCCTTTTTGTCAACGACACTGTCTTCCATTCACCTAAACACAATAAAACTTCCTGGATGCACCCTCACAGCAAATATTGGCTTTTAATACACCATGCGTTTGTAAGGAGAAGAGACAGACAGGATATGAGAGTGATGAAGGCAATGTGTGATGGAGAGTGCTGGACTGATTACAGACTTATCTTCTCCAGATTAAACATTCACATTCAAAAAAGCTTCAGCCCCAAGGCAAAATGACTACCTGGAGAATCAATGTCAACAGATTAGAGCAGTTCTCTGAGCAAGAACAGTTTCTTGCTAACTTGGAGGGAAAGTTGAGTCCACACATAGTTGGCAAAAGTGGAACAGAATGGAGAAGATGTGGGAAAATTGGAACACTAATACATTGTTGGTGGAGTTGTGAAATGATCCAACCATTTTGGAGAACAATTTGGAACTATGCCCAAAGGGCTACAAAAATGTGCATACCTTTTGATCCAGCAATAGCACTTCTACGGCTATATCCCAAAGAGATCAAACAAATAGGAAAAGGACCCATATGTACAAAAATATTCATAGCAGCTCTTTTTCTGGTGGCAAAGAATTGGAAATTGAGAGGATGCTCATCAATTGGGGAATGGCTGAGCAAGTTGTGGTATATGAATGTAACGGAATACTATTGCGCTATAAGAAATGATGAACACGCTGACTTCAGAAAACCTGGGAAGACTTATATGGTCTGATGCTGAGTGAAGTAAGCAGAAACAAGAAGACTTTGTACACAATAACAGCCATGTTATGCAATGACTAAGATTGTTAAACTGAACCCTTCTCAGCATTACAAGGATCTAAGACATTTGCAGAGGCCTTGGGATGGATGATGCTGTCCACATCCAAAGAAAGAACTATGGAAGTTGAATCACTATCACTTATTTTTACCTTCTGTTGAGTTTTGTTTCATCTTTCTGATGGTTCCTCCTATTGGTTTTAATTTTTACTTGCAACTTCACTAATGTGAAAATATATTTGATGGGTATGTAAATGTATAGACTATATCAGATTGTGCACCGTCTTGGGGAGGGTCGGCAGGAGGAAGGGAGAGAAAAATGTTCAACTCAAAAGCACATGGAAGTGATTGCTGATAAATCAAAATAAATTAATAAAATTTTTTATTAAAAAAAAAGTAGAACAGAAAAGGGTGGGCAGCCTCCAGAGATCTGGTACACAGCACTGCATTTATTCATTTGGGTCAGAACACTAACAAACATCAACACTGCTTTCACAAAAATGATGGGGAAATTCAGAAGCTACTAAAGGAAAAAAAACTCTACTGGGTTTAGCAACAGGATAACATCTAATTTGAAATAATATCATTTCTAAGAAGGCAGCATCTAAACAGCATCAGAAGTAACGCACAAGCAAAGCTTAGAGAGAGGCAAGATTCTTGGCTCAGTAGGAAGGCAGATGAAATTCAGTTTTATGCTGATAGTGACAATCCAAAGTGCTTTTATAATGCCCTGAAGGCTATTTATGGGCTAAGACCTATGGTACATCTCAAGTACTCAGTGCTGATGGAGCCACATTGACTGGTGATAAGGACATGATGCTAGAGAGATGGGTTGAACACTTCCACAGTGTTCTCAATAGACCATCATGAATCAATGCTGAAGGGATTCACAATTTACCTTGGTGTGAAGTCAATTCCTCCCTTGCTGAAGTTCCAACTGAAGAAGAGGTTTTGAATGCCATTAGGCTCCTTTCACCCGGCAAAACACCTGGTGCTAATTCTATTCCAGCTGAGGTTTATAAGGCAGCAGTCCAGTTCTCATCCCAAAGCTGACTGAAACTTTCTGGGGTATATGGCAAGAGAAGGTTATCCCCCAGAAGCTCAAGGATGCCTCCACTGTTTCTCTCTATAAAGGTCAAGGAAAACAAGACTGTTCTGTGACAATGATGGGGGAGGGGGTCCTCGTTCTTAGTCATTGCTGGCAAGACTCTGCCAGGGTCCTCCTTAATAGGCTAATCCTTTACTTAGAAGATGGTCATTTACCTGAGAGCCAGTGTGGTTTCAGAAAGGGCCAAGGAACATTCAGTATAGTGTCTGCTGCCTGACAGCTACATGAGAAGTGCTCAGACCAGAACACAGATCTGTATACAGCTGTACATCTGACAAAGGCCTTTGATGGTCTCAGTTGTCAGGGCTTATGGAAAATTGTCAGAATTTTGTTGCCCACAGAAGTTAATCAGTATCATACATCAATTTCATGATGGGATGCTTGCCCAGATTACGGATAAAGGATGATGCTCTCATGCTTTCCCAGTCACCAATGGAGTGAAACAAGGCTGTGTGCTTCTTTTCATTCTTTTTGGCATGATGCTTTCAGCCACGTTGTCAAACAACCTTCAATGAGGACAAAGATGGCATCAAGGTCAGCTATCACACCAATGGTAAATTCTTCAACTGGAAGTCGTTTTGCTGGTTTGACATTTTGTTTGTAGATGTTTCTGCACTCAATGCAGCCTCTGAAGCTGAGATATAATAAAGTATGGATCAATTCTCTGCTGCTTGTGAAAATTTTGGCCTAACAATTAACACCAAGAAAACACAGGTGCTCTATCAGCCAGACCCACACCATCTATACTTGGAACCATAAGTTACAGCAAATGGAAAAGTTCTGAATGCTGTGGAGAACCTCATTTACCTTAGCAGAATACTTTCTAGGGACATACACATTGATAACAAGGTTGCTGCAAGCATTGCCATAGCTAGTTCAGTGTTTCACAGGCTCTGAAGGAAAATATGGGAGACAAGAGAAGATTGCCTACCAGTCTGAAGGTCTACAGAGTTGATGTGCTGACCTCACTGTATGCCTGGGAAACCTGGATAGTATACTTACACCATGCCAGAAAACTGGATAGCTTCCATTTAAACTGTCTTAGAAGTTTCTGAAGATCACTTAGCAAGATAAGTTACAGACAATGAGGTCCTTTCTTGAACTAAACTGTCAAGCACTCAAGCCCTACCATAGAGAATGCAAATACCATGGTCTAACCATATTGTTCGAATGCTAAACTTATGCTTGCCAAAAAGACTATTTAACAGAAAGCTAACACAGGGCAATTGATCACTTTGGAGAACAATGTTGGTGAGGAAAACAAATACAAGGACACTCATAAAGTCTCTCTTAAGAATTTTCGAATTAATTATATGACATGAGAGACAACAGCCAACTACTCACGTATCCTAGGAACGAGCCAGAATTCAAAGTCACTAGCCTAGGCTACGCAGAATCTACCCTCTCGTTTCAGAACCTTGTTAATGTCCCCTTTTCCAATCTGGGGCAGCTTGCCCCATTCTCCAAGATCTTTCAGAGACACATGAAAGTGGCTAAGCAATGAAGCGCATTATACACTCCTATCAGAACAGCTGGATCCCATCTGTCTCCTTTTACTTCCAGTATCCACTTCCGGCTGACAATTTCTGGGCTCTCATTACTAGTTCCAAATTTATCGTTCTTCAATGAGAAAACAAAAGCCAAGGAAGATCTGAGTTGTTCAGCTTTCTCACAGGTGTCCCTTGTCGTCACCATCACCCCATCAACCCCAAAACATGGTCTTCACTATTCTCTGATCTTGCCTCCAAGCTAGGTTTTTTAAATCTTTTTCTAACTTTTATCACCAGAATACTTTCTTTCAGGCTTTGTTGTCTCTCCACTACTCTATTTTTATACTGCTCTGTTTCTTTTTTTATTCATACTCAATTAATGGTAATTAAACACATTTTTATTCTCATGATTAGTTACGCTTCAAGTCAATTGGCTATTAAAAATCACATCTAAATCTCAAATGTAAGCCTTCTGACACACAACCTAGTCATTTCTTTGTCCTTTGCTGCCTCTTCACTCTCTAGTTTAATTCATTTGAACACAGCATTTACACAAAAAAGTGATATGAATCAAGAACTTGAATCTTACGCCATTTCTACTAATTAAACAAAAAAGTATGATGTTATCAGGGTACCAGGAGGGAGGAATACCATACTAAAAGGGATTCTTCTCATCCTTCCTCCTCTATTCTAAGGAAGGAGGGCCATCTTTAACAAAAATCTATTTTCTAGCACTCCCACTTCCCCCTCCATGTTGGAGGGGGAAAAAAAGGTAGGCAAAATCCTTGTAATAATAATTCAAAGGCAAGCAAAACAAATTCCCACATTGGCCAAGTCCAAAATAAGAGGAAAGCTGAGCGCCAAAGAATGCATGCTTTTGAATTATGGTGTTGGTGAATACTTTTCAGAGTCCCTTAGAAAGCAAAGAGGTCGAATCTGTCCATACTTAAAGGAAGAAACTAATTCAGATTCTTCACTGGAACTTCAAGTATAAAACTCAATCACGTAAATGTCAGAAGTTGGGTAGCATATTTCATCACGAATCCTCTTCAGAAAAAAAAATGGCTGGTCACTGTGCTGATCAGAGGTTTTAAATCTTTCAAAGTGGTTTGTCTTTACAATGCTGTCATTGGATACATTTTTGTTCTGCTCTATCTACTTCATTCTGCAGTGATTCATACAAAGTCTTCCTCAGGTTCTCTGAAAAAGTTTCTTGTGTGATTTCTCTTACATTACAATATTTTTCTATAACCTCTGTATACCATAACATGTTCAGTCATTCCACAAATGAGGGGAATCTCCTCAGTTTCCAATTCTTTGGCACCACAAAAAGAGACGTTATCAATGTTTTTGTACATATGAGTCATTTCCTCTTTGACTCTTTTGCACCTAGTAGTACTATTGCTGGGCCAAAGGATATGTGGACAGTGTAGTAATTTTCTTAGCATCATTCCAAATTCCTTTCAAGAATGGCTTGTCCACACCTACTGAAAGAGATCTCAAAAGAAAAACTCCCAAGAATAAAATAGCCAAATTCCAGAGTTCCCAGGTCAAGGAGAATATACAGATGCCAGAAAGAAACAATCCAAGTATTGTGGAAACACAATCAGGTTTATCAGTATTAGTCATCGCACAACGTGGTTCTTATTGTGTACAACGCTATCTTGGTTCTGCTCATTTCACTCAGCATCAGATCATACAAGTCTTTCCAGGTTTTTCTGAAGTCAGCCTGTTCATCATTTCTTCTACCACAATACTATTTCATTACATTCCTATACCACAACTCGCTCAGCCATTCCCCAATTGATGGGCATCCTCTCAATTTCCAATTCTTTGCCACCACAAAAAGAGCTGCTATGAATATTTTTGTACATGTGGGTCCTTTTCCCATTTATATGATCTCTTTGGGATATAGCCCTAGAAGTGCTATTGCTGGGTCAAAGGGTATGCACATTTTTATAGCTCTTTGGGGCATAGTTCCAAATTGCTCTCCAAAATGGTTGGATCATTTCACAACTCCACCAACCATATATTAGTGCTCCAATTTTCCCACATCTTTTCCAACATTTATCACTTTCTTGTTTTCTCATCTTGGTATGATCTGGTACCTCATAGTTGTTTTAATTTTCATTTCTCTAATCAATACTGACTTAGAGCATTTTTTATATGACTACAGACGGTTTTCATATCCTTTGTTCCTGTTCATATCCTTTGACCATTTATCAACTGGAGAATTATTTGTATTCTTATAAATTTGACTTAATTCTCTATATATTTTAGAAATGAGGCTCTTATCAGAGAGACTGGTTATAAAAATTCTTTCCCAATTTTCTACCTTCCTTCTAATCTTAGTTGCATTGGCTTTGTTTCTGCAAAAACTTCTCAATTTAATGTAATCAAAGTTATCTATTTTGCTTTTCATAATATTCTGTATCTCCTGTTTGGTCATGAATTCTTCTGCTCTCCAAAGATCTGATAAGTAAACTATTCCTTGCTCTCCCAGTTTGCTTATAGTATCTGCCTTTATATCCAAATCATGAACCCATTTTGACTTTATTTTGGTTATTTGGTATGAGATTTTGATCAATGCCTAGTTTCTGCCATACTCTTTTCCAGTTTTCCCAGCAGTTTTTGTCAAGGAGTGCATTCTTATCACAGAAGTTGGGGTCTTAGTGTTCATCAAATAATAGATTACCATAGTCACTGACTACTGTGTCTTGCATACTTAACCTATTCCACTGATCCACCACTCTATTTCTTAGCCAGTACCAAGCAGTTTTGACGACTGCTGCTTTAGAATACAATTTAAAATCTGGAATGACTAGGCTACCTTCCCCTGAATTTCTTTTTCATTAGTTCCCTTGATATTCTGGACCTTTTGCTATTCCAAACTAATCTTGTTATTATTTTTTCTAACTTTATAAAATAGAAATGAATGTTAGAAATTGTTTCTGCATGCAACTGGGAAATAAGATACACAGGAGTATACAAATCTATCTTACCCTACAGGAAAACAGAAGGGGAAGAGGAAAATAGAAAGGAGGGGTGGTAATGGAAGGGAGAACAGATTGGGTAAAGGGGGAATCAGAATGCAGGGTTTCATGTAGTGGGGGGAGGGGAGGGATCAGAAGAAAATTTGGAACTCAAAATCTTATGAAGAGAATGTTGAAAACTAAAAATAAATAAATTGGGGAAAGAAAAAAAATAAAGAATGGCTGGCCCAAGTTGCAGCTCCATCAACAGCAAGGGCCATCTCCAGTCTTCCTAATGTATATCTTGCCCCTGGACTCAAATGGCTCCTGAGCAGAAAGTGAGGCTGGTGACCTTGTACAGCCTATCCTCACTTAAATCCAATTCATTTGCAAGTCACGGAATCATCCTCCTGATGACATGGTCCTCTTCCAGAATGAAGGACAAACAATAACCTGTGACTGCTCTGAGCTGCCCCATCAGGGACCCAACTGGCCACTTCCACTGAGGAACAAAGCTCCTTCCTCTCCCTTTACTCCCACGTCTCCCTCTCTCCACATGGACTATCACGCTTTCGGGGGTTTACTGACGAGATTTTGTTCTGAAACACCAAGCTTGACACTCAATTCATTGGCTCTAATGGATTGGCTAGCAATAGGTCCCAGCTCAAGCACCACTTGGTGGTCATGGTTTGGGCTCCAGTAGTTCATTTACTATATGAATATTAATTGTCTCTGTTTTGGCCAGAAATCCTGAGGGTCTTCCCCTCCCAGACAGATTTTATTTATTTACTTTTTATTAGATAAAAGGGACCATTCCACGCACCACATTTCTAAACAAGCCTTAAACACTGAATAGGGCTTTGCCTCAGTCAAAGTGAGAACTCCTAAAGACCTTAGCTTCAAAGTCCAACGTCTCTCACAGCATCCTGGACCATCTTCAGTCTTCCTGATCTCTATCTTGCCACAGGACCCAGGTATCTCAGCAGAAGAGAGTGAGGCTGGTGACCATGGACTTAAACCCAAGTCATGTGCAAGTCTTGGCATCACCCGCTTGACCAAATGTTACTCCCAGAGGACTTACAACCACCACCATCCAAATGATAATAATGTACTTCTTCTCCCACAGGCCGTGTTGATTTTCTCCTCTTACTTTGTCAATTCTCCCAATCTGATGAGTGTGAGCGAGAAACTCAGAGAACCTTACTTTTCCTTTATTCCTATCCCTTATATTTTTAAGAGGAATATGCATTCTATCTTGTCAGAAGCATCTACTAGCAGGACCATATTCTTCTTATTGTTCATGTTATTAATATAGTCTCTTATGTCAAGAGTTTCCTTAATTTTGAACCAAATATGAACACCTAATATAGGTCCAATCTCATAATATATAACTTTGATTAAACAGTGCTGTCCTCTCTTTCTGCTTTAGCTAACATCATCTTGGTTTGTAGAAGGAATTTGTTAGGAGCCTTTCTTTCTCTATATTTTTAAACAGTATATGTAATGTTAAAATGATCCATGAAAATTCCAAAAGGCTAATTATAAAATATGACTAGAAAACTGATGAACTTTGAGTGCAAATTAAAGCATATTTTTTTACTTCCATTTTGCTTCACGTTTTTTTTTTTACCAAGGCCAATATGGAAATGTTTTGCATTACTTTTACATGCAAAATGGGTGTCCTGTTGTTTGCCTTCTCAATGGGTAGGGGAAGGATTAGAAGGTGGGAAAGAATATGGAACTTAAAATTAAAAAAAAACCACAAAGTAAATGTAAAGTCTTTTTTTGTGTGTCTATACGATATATTGATCTCTATATGTTCTCTTTTATCCTTAAACATAGAATTCCTTGATGTCCACAATTTCTAGTGCTATAGCACAGGACAAAGACACCTATCCCAAGGTCTCTGGCCTGAAACGCTATTTCAGAAAAGCAGCAAGTGGCACTCACCTTCCCGGGCCTGGCTGTCAGGGCAGGAGCCATTCCCTCTTCCTCCAGGCTGTCCTCCTGGGGGGGAGCAGAGGTCACAGAAGGGGGAGCTGGGGAGGAAAGGAGAAGCAGGAGAGTGAGGGGTCACGCTGGGGGTGGGGTGTATCCTCCTTAGACCAGACATTCCCACTACTCAGCATGGGGAGATCAGTGATGGGGACAGAGGTGGGAGGGGGCCAGAAGTAAGCGGTCATTCCTCTTCCGGGGGGGGTGGAGGCCGCTGTCTTGGGTTCAGCCTCTTTTTAGAGACAAACTGGAGGATAGACAGGTGACCCTTTTAGCAGGTGGAGGGCACCGGGCCACGGAAGCATCAGAGAAGGCTTCCCGGAGGAAGCGCTACGCAGAAGGATGCTGAGAGGAAAAGAAGAGGCCACGGGAATTCCGCACCGAGGGCTAGACACACACACACGAGGAGAACGTTCCCCGGGACTCTGGGCACAGGGCAAGGCCTGAGGTCTACAGGGGCAGGCCCTAACTAGGGCCACTGGATGCGGGGGAGACTGAATGAGTATTAGACCCCGCCCCCAGGCTCCGCCTCCGCCTGCTCGGCCTACAACCCCCGCCCCGCCCCCCCCCGCACGGGCCGCCCCCAGATCCCTGGGAGCCCGTCGGGGGCTTCCTTCCCTCTCTATCGGACGCTCCTCCCATTCTCCGGGTGCCCTCCAGCCAGCCCCCGGTGCTCCGACCCCGCCGCATCCCCGCACCGGCTCCGCCTGGGCCTGGCTCCGCTCACCCGGTCACACTTCAGCTCAGGACAGAGAAGGGGAAGCGGGAACCACCAAGCGTGGAAGAGGCGGAAAGAAAAGGAAGCGGAAGTGTCGGAGTAAGACCTAAATCTAATCCTCCTGCCCGTGAGCTTGGAAAATGACCGAGGCGAGCGCGGCCTTCTGGGAATCGTAGTCTGGAGGCCTCTGCCTCGGCCCTCCCCCGTCCTGGAATGCGGTCCTGCCTCCCTGGCTGCCCCGCCCCGCCCTTCCTTCCAGCAGCCCCACCCCCTCCGCTCCTCCCTTTACCTCGTGCGTGGTCTTCACAGCCCCAGAGCCCACGGGGAGTCACCAGACGTGGGGTCACAGACCTCAGGACGTCCTGGGGCTCCTCCGAGGGTCGTCCAGCCCGCAGTCTCTCCCACTGCGGCAGCTAGTCACAAAGGCCACCGCTCTAAAGAAATGCTTCCTGTGGCACCAGCATCTTCCCGCAGGAAGTGACGCAAACACGCAGGAAGCTACGGCTCTGAAAAGGGAAACCACGGGCCGGGGCAGGATGCCGGGAGCGCTTGCTCAGCCCCCTGGGGCTTCCAGGAGGAGCAGGACAAGAGTGGGCCCGGGGCAGGGGAAGGCCGTGCTGGCTTCGTGTCTGTTTCCTCTGCCAAGGAGACTGACCCGAGGGTGACCAGGAGACGTGGAGAGCGTTTTGCTGGGCCTGGGGAATGCCAGTCGTCTGGTAGATGGGCTCAATAAAACTCAGAGCTGACGTTTACTTGGAGCTCACTGTGTTCCAGGCACGGCTAAGTCCTTTACAAGGACTGTCTCACCTGGTCCTCATGACAACCCGCAGAAGCAAGTATTGTTATAGCCCCCATTTTATAGATGTGGAAACTAGGGTGAAGTGACTTGCCCAGGGTCATACAGGTAGCAAGTGCCTGAACTTGGATTTGAACTCAGGACTTACTGATTGCATGCCCAGAATTCTATCCGCTGCAAAGAGAAACTCTGAGGGTCTCCTGCTCCTAGACTGATTATTTTGAGGAGACAAACTAAGCCATTTTTGCCCCAATTCGTACCTAGCCTTTAATTGCTGAATGGGTGTTGCTTCACATAAACAGATTGGGGAAACACCTTAAAGCAAATTCACTTTCAAGTCAAGATAAATCACCCTCCTGATATCATTCATCAAAAAGTAGTGTGATTTACAAAATGTATCATGTTAAATGTATTTTACATCATAAGCTCATAATTTTACCATGGATTTTTAATTTTAACAAGATGCAGGGGGATAACTGAAAATGTCTTCTCACTTCTGACATGCTTTTCTCATGCCTGACTATCAAGTAGAAATTATAAAATACAAGAGTTTTCTTACCTCTTAAGGGATAAACATGTATTTATTACTTTATTGTTTCCTTAGGTCAGAGAACAGGTTTTTCTAAAAATTGCAGGGGGGGGGCTGTTAATCTGTTAAAATATTTATCCCCATTACATATAATGCTTCCTGATGGTTTTTGATAGATGCTGTCTATCATTTTAAGGAACACTCCATTTATTCCTATGCTTTTTAGTGTTTTTAATAGGAATGGGTTTTGTTTTTTATCAAATGTTTTTCTGCATATATTGAGATAATCATGATTTCTATTATGTCTGTATCCCAGGTGGTACAGCAGGCAAACACCAACACCTGGACCTCCGAGTGCCTCAGTGAGGGCAGGGGGAACCAGTGGAAACCAGCTCAGAAAACCACCAGGAGTCTCAGCAATCCACCGCAAAGGAATCTCCCAGTGCACTAGCAGAAACTAGGGAGACAACACTGCAGGGGGCCTCAGGCAGATACACATCCTGCAGTAGCCATCTACAAGGAGCAGAAGAAAGCTAAAAGAAAGGAAAAGCAGGCAACCTAGAATTGCCTGAAAGTTCCAGCCTTGCTGATTCCAGCCCAACACAAGGTAGCTGCCAGAAACCTACAGCCTCCAATTCCCAGCATAAGAGGCCCCAGAACGCAAAGCCAGTGACCAAGACCTAGGCTCCCAATGCAAGAAGCTTGGGTTAGTACCCTCTGTGCCCCAAAAGGAGAGCTCAGTCTCTTTAAAGGCCAGGGAATAAAGAAACACCATGAGTAAAAAGAAACGTACCATAGATTCATATTATGAGAAGAGTGAAGATCAAGACAGAAATTCTGAAGAGGACAACATTGTCAACAAACCCACATCTGCAACAACAAAAGGGAATATGAACTGGTCTGAAGCCCAAAAAGCCTTCTTAGAAGAGCTCAAGAAGGATTTTAATAGTCAAATGAGAGAGGTAAAAGAGTCCTTCAAAAATACAATTGGCCAGTTGGAAAAAAAATACACTGAAGAAAACAAGTCCCTAAAAAACACAATTGGCCAATTGAAGAAGGAAGGACAAAATCTAACAAAGAGTATGCTGAAGGAAACAAGTCCTTAAAAAATATAATTGGCCAGTTGAAGAAGGAAGTACAAAAACTAACAGAAGAAAACAATCTGTTAAAAACTAGAATTGGACAAATGGAAACTAATGTCTCTATGAGAGAGCAAGAATCAGTCAAACAGAAACAAAAAAATGAAAAAATTGATGAAAATGTAAAATACCTCATCAGTAAAACAACCGACCTGGAAAATCGACTCAGGAGAGACAATTTAAAAATTATTGGACTACCTGAAAATCATTATGAAAAAAAGAGCGTGGACAGTATCTTTCAGGAAATCATAAAGGAAAACTGCCTGGAAGTCCTAGAACCAGAAGGGAAAATAACCATAGAAAGAATCCACCGATCACCACCTGAAAGAGATCCCAAATTGACAACGCCAAGAAATATAATAGCAAAATTCCAAAATTACCAGATGAAAGAGAAGGTGCTGCAAGCAGCCAGAAAGAAAGAATTTAAATATCATGGAACCACAGTCAGGATTACACAGGACCTTGCAGCTTCTACATTAAAAGACTGCAGGGAGTGGAACATGATATTCCATAAGGCAAAGGAGCTTGGAATGCAGCCAAGAATCAATTACCCGGCACAAATGGGCATCATTTTTCAAGGGAGGAGGTGGATATTCAACGAAATAGGAGACTTCCAGACTTTCCTGATAAAAACACCAGAGCTCAACAAAAAATTTGATCTTCAAGTACAGGGCTCAAGGACTTAAAAAGGTAAATGGGACAGAAGGATACAATATGTTGTTAATGGGGGGGGGGGCTGTTTAAACCCCTACAACGGAATATGAGACTTGTATTTGAGAACTGTATTGTTATTACACCTTGTTAAAGGAGTATACATAAAGAGGGTGGATATTAGTTGGCTTTGATGTAATGATAAATAAAAATCTAATCAAGTGGGTTAAATGGATCCAAATAAGTGGATCAATCTGATCTTAGAAAATGTACTGAGAAAGGAGGAGGCAGACAAGGATAAATTACATTACAGGAAAAGACACAAAATCCTATTACAGCAGAGGGAAAGGGGGGGGAGCATTGTTTGAATCTTACTCTCATCAGATTTGGCTCAAGAAGGGCATAATATAATCAGTTAGGTATAGAAATCTAACTTGCCCTACAGGCAGTAGGAGGGAAAAGGGGAAAGAAAAGGGAGGGGGGAAAGAAGGGAGGGAAGCAGCAGTAAGACTAAAGGGGAAGAAAACGGAAAGGGATAATAAAAGGGGGAAGGGACTGAAGGAGGCGGTGGTCAAAAGCAAAACACTAGTGAAGGGGAGAAAGGAAAATATGTTTAATGGGTATGTAAATGTAAAGCCTGTGTCAGATTGTGCGCCATCTTGGGTGCGGAGAAAAAGGGAGAAAAAATTTCAACTCAAAAGCATATGGAAAAAAAAAAACTAAAAACAAATAAATTATTAAGACAAAAGATTTATTCCCCCCAAAATAGAAACCTATGATTCCTTTGCTTGCGTTTAGTGATTCTTGGAAATAAAACTCCTTCACTTACCTTCATTTGTCTGGAAGAAAGATTCGTGGTTTCCTAATGCAATTGAGGGATGTTTGGCGGCTGCAGGTGTGTTCCATTGTATCCTGTAGTGTCAAGATATAGGCAGTGTAATTTTTCATTTAGGTGTAAAAAATTATTTTTCAAAAAGCTTTTTTTTTGGTCTATGAAGTTGCACAGGAGCCTTAGAATGATTTTAAAGGTTATGAAAAAAAAGTTCTTAACCTAAAATTTTGATATCATATCCAATTTGTCTTCTGTGATTCTTTTTTGGTCATGAGTTTCTCCTGTGTATGTTATAGGTGATTTTTCCATGTTGATCTAATGTGTTTATGATGTGATCTTTTATACCTAGGTCACACACCTATTCGGAGCTTACAAGGTG